TCTTACCTTCACCAATGATTGTTTTTGAACATTTTTAGGAGATTTAACACTAGGGGCTTTTTTTGAATTTTTCTTCTTTTTGGGAGTTTTTGAGCTGGGAGCCACTTTAGCTTTCTTTCCAGGTTTACTGATAGACACATCTTCTACAAAATCATCATCGTACACTATCTCTTTTCGTTTCCTTTCCGCTTGTTTGATTGGCCTCGAAGATTCTCCAGCATCGAAATCATGTTTTTGTTTATTTCTAGCTTCAGCCCTAATTTGACGCGGAGAAAGACTATGCCTCATATCTACAATTGCATGTGCAGATTTCCCTTACTTTTTGAGTGAATGTGGTAATAATACACCCAAATCGAAAGAAGGTATATCAGCTTCTCTAGCTTTTTTAGGGCAGTGCTTTGAAGGTTTGTTCTTCTTTATTGATAAAATTTGAAGCTGAAGGTAAATGTGTGTATGAAATTTGAAGATTTGACTTCAATTTTTGACCGGTTGTAGAAGAAAAAACTGAAAATTGGATGTTAATGGTGGGGGTTTAGCAAAGGAAATAATGGGTTTGAAACGTGGGTGTTGGGTGATACGTGGGTGAGGGTGAGGGTTTGGGAGAGGGAAACGTGGNATGGGTAATATAGTTTCCTATATGGCACAGGAATATAAAAATTCCTTTCTTATACAGATGAAGATGAAGTTTTTGGCCCAGCAGTTACAAGATTTAAAGACGTAGAAGTTAGAACTAGTAGTAGAGTGCTGTTAATCAATTAGTATAGGGTTGACATTTTGCTTGAAGAGATCTGATTAATTCAGAAATCTTTAAGAGTAAAGGTTCTCAATTCTCACATCGCCTGTTAAGAATAAATAATCCGTTCTCTGCCCATACTTTTATCGGGATCTATCTCATGCTTTTGAACTCCCTAAAAAAAATTCAGTAACTAATCATGTGAAGGCAGTTTTGAGATGGATATTGATATCAAGCTGTGAGAAAAAATAACAAATAGAATGAGTCTTATCTTCTTACTTCTCAAGTCGAAATCCAGCTGCCACACAACAGCATCTTAAAGGGTAAAAAGCAGTACTTAGAGGGATTCCATAATGTCACTTAAAATGGCATCCGTGCTTTACTATTGTTTCAGTCACAACTAAGAGCCAGTGAATGAAGAAACTCTACACGAGGCTTTCACTATTTGCCTTATCCACCACAGTAACCTTACATAATCATCTGGAGCAGCAGGAAGAGTCAGGAATATTAACTAATGTTGTAAAACAACAATCCCAAAACCACCTTTCAACTGAAGCCACAACCTATCCTCAACATAACTTCTGTATCCAACATCTATTCAAATGCATGAGTGCCAAAAGGTGGAGCTAACTTTTTTGGTTTGCAATTGAATGAGTTTAGTGTATCACATCAGATTGACTGCTACCTTCTCAAAAACCATCCAATGCAGAATTTTTTAAGCAACAAAGCAAACTGCTAGGAATCAATGCAGTGATCCTGGGAGGTGCATAGAGATGGTTGGTCTTACAAAAGAGCCTATCGAAAAGCCAAGATCCTAGGCCATTACCTTGTATTCCCCTTCTCAGTGGGTATGCAAAATGTAAGAAGTTCGGTAAGCAAATATGTCATTAGATTTACAACAACTAGCCACTTAACTTCTCAAGTCAAATTGTTTCATATAGCTACGGCCACCATGGCAGTCAAGATGAAGGGTACTCAATTTAACCCTCTTCTTGGTACATGAAGGTGTAGCTTCAATATGGAGGATAATTCCAACCACAGCAAAAAAAGTTCATCATTGAGCTCAGACATTAACAAGTCACTATAAGTAGGATATTCAAGGTCAACACAAAAACTCCCATAATGCATATATTCTAATTAAACATGTTTATAATCAGCAAATCCTCAATATTGACCTCTAAACGCAGGTTCAAACCGAACAAAACAGAAAAGTAGAGAGTAACAAAATCAATTTATCCAAAAAAGTGTTGTAGATGTTCCTCTAAAAGACAAGCTCATGTGGTTTCATGCCTGCCTTGAGTGAGAACCTCGCGGACAAATAAGCCTTCAATTCTGGAACTCCTTCAATGGCCTTGATCAATGCAGTGTCCACAGCTTTCTGCTCATCTTTCTTTTCTTGTGGAAGTACATTCTTCTCCTGCACTCAACAATCAAATACACAAATCACAAATTAAATCAAACGACTCTCAAATGGACACTCCAAAAATGTCATCGGGTGCATGTCGGATCCTCCAAAAGTAGTGCATTTTTGAAGGATCCAATACGGGTGCGGCAGCATTTTGGAGAGTCCGCATAACATAGAGTGTGTGTATACATATAATGCTCGCACATACACAGACTAAGAGAAATTTGATAATATATACATTAAACTAAGCTGTGGGTGCATCACTTTGTGTAGATATATATATTTGTGTAGATATATATATATATTTAAAGTTTAAGTTCCATTCACTAATGGTATAAAAAACATATACACTATCACTTAAAAGGTAATTGCAAGTAACTCTATACACTGACGTTGTAAATAATCCATTATAATATCCATGTATATAACTTAAACCCATATATTTCTACTAAGTCCATATCCACTTTCAAAAGGTATATCCACAATACATTGATCTATACACATGCACACACACATAAGTGTGCGCGCACACACACAGCAAACAATTTTATTATAAATATATATATATCTATACTAAGTCACATTTATATATGATCCTGAATTTGCACACACACTAAGGAAACAAATCTAAACAGAAAAAGAACTAAGAAAACAAACCTCTTTCTTGTCTTCAAAAAACTCCCCTTCTCCCTTCTTCTGCTTCTTCTCAGCCTGCTTAGCAAAATACTTATCATCAATTTTCTCCACATTCACACCCGAAACATCAACCTTAGTTGAGGTACCAATAACATAAGCTTGATTCACACGTCTAAGAGGAACGCCATTAAGCTTAAAGGGTCCAGTAACAAGCAGTAGCCCAGAACCAAGTTGTTTCAAAAACACAACTCGTTTCCCCTTAAACCTACCAGCTAGGATAATCAACACAGTTCCAGGTGTAATGCTTGCTCTGAGTTTTGTAGGTTTTGGCTTGTGTTTGTTCACAAGTGGTTTTGCCACATCATCGGCGGGGTAAAACTTTGGGGGTTTTATTGCCGGAGCGGCGGTGGTGGGTTTTTTGCTGTGGGATGGAAATGTGCCGCCGTTTTTTTTCTTGATTGCCCAGAGACCTTTCTTGTGGTACATTTTAGAACGTGAGAATTTTCCCAGGCCAGGAATTAGTTCTGGGTTACGAAGAGTTTTCTTGGGCGCCATTGGAGAAGAGAAGCTGCTCAGGTGAGAGAGTAAACCCTAGTTTTTGAGAGAAATGGCTGAGATCTCAGCGTTTGGTTATGTAAAGGGATATTGAAGATGAGAGCCCACGTGTATTTGGGCTGGTCTGGGCTAGGTGATTTTTCATCTTTGGGCTTGCCATGGATTTCGTCAAATTGTAGAAAAAACTCGACAAAATAGCCACTTTTTAGACGGGTAATTGACATTTATCCCTCATTACAAAACTAGTCAAATTTAACCAGTTTTTCACTATGTGGAGTTTCAATTATAAGAAGTTGAATATTAACATATTATATTGGAGCTTTTTCGTATTCTCAAGCTAGGAATATTTTTAGGAAGAATGACAGTGTATAGCCGTTGTAAAAATAATAGCCGAAAAATATATAAAATTTATATAGTATTTGTATATATATATATTCTGTATGTTATATATAAAAATTATACAAGTTTTATATACTTTTTTGGCTACTAGATATAAATAGTTTATGAGGGCTAAAAGTAATAATATCCCATAGTTTTATTTAATTTTATTTTCACATTAAAAAGTGAAAATATATTGATCACATTTCAAACGGTTGCTAAACATTAAAAAGTGGACTAAAAAGTAATTACACCGTGGCATTTTTATCATATTATGTAGTTGACCAAGGCTTTCAGTAAATATGAGGTCTATGATTTAATTGGTGATGGACAAGAATGGCCCTATAAGGGCTAATCTTTAAATATCGTCCTCGCTTTTAATGTATATAGAAATTGGCCCTCGCGCCCATACACCTTTCTTGCTTGTCAGGGATTCTTTATTGAATTGGTAAATTTTATACTATATTAGTGTACGTAGATTGTTAATTGTTCATAAACTCTACCAATTAGCATGATTTTGTAATGATTCAATTATTTACCAAACTCTATATTGGTATGACTTATATTATCTGCATTCAACTTATATGTTAAATTGTTAATAAATTCTATCTGATTGGTATAATTTTGTTTTTGTTCAATTATTCATCAAATTTGCTAGATTGGTATGACCGTGTTATTTGTAATTGATATATCTGTTAAATTGTTTATCATAATCTATTCGCATAAATTTTTGTATTGTTTAACAAAGTATTATTTGAATTTATAATTTTTATCTGGATCAAACCATCCAAAATATACTCAAATAATCTCAAGTTTGAAGCAAAACATCCAAACACCAACACAAACGACCCCTAATCATCAATACAACAATCCCTTAGAGAGACAATTGGTGTAATTTGTGAATTTGATCGCCAGTGGGTGATGTTGATGATTCTCCATCTCTTAATTAGAAGTTAAAGTTTGAGACATGTGAATGAATTTTTTAGAGGCATTTTATTGGATAAAAATTGTCTTTTACGGTCAAATTTGAATATCAAAGCAAATACTCCATCCGTTTTATTTAAATCGTCTCAAATTATGACCCAAAAAGAAAAATGATAACCTTCTATGCTTCAATTTTTTTTATTTGTTTTTATCTTTAAAGAGATGCTCTTATAGTTGCAAAAATAACATATGGTTATAATGATACTTTTAATGTGTCAAAAGTTTTTTTTTTCTTTATTAGACTTCACGCCAATCTTCACGCCGATCAAATATTGCTACATAAAATAAAGTGGATCAAGTTAATAATAATAATAAATATACTAATTTGGTAGGAAAAGAATTCACATGGTAAAAAAGGTTGGAGATAGCATCTCCTACATATTTGCGCCACCGATCCGCGGCCGTAAATGGAAGGAGTAGGGGCCAGATTGGGCCGGTCATCAACTAGGTACGGAGGGCCGATCACAGTATTTACTGGACCAGTTCGAAGGTGGAAGAAAAAGTGGATCCACGTAACGCCGCCGACCTCCGGCAACAATCATCAGAGAGCTAACGGCAGAGTTAACGGTAGTAACGATTCTCATCTATTGCTTTTCAAATGGACGCCTATAACTGCTAGCCAAAACAACAATGGTACTGCTGGCGGTAACGGCGAAAAAAATGACTCCCCTAACGACGACGCCGTTGCGGTGGAGGAGCTACCTAAGCGTAAATTCAAGTATATTCCGGTAATTATTTTCCAATGAGTTGGCAGCTTTGAGTTTTAATAACATGAACTTTAGTGCATATTGAGAGATAAGCTAAGTGTAATGTGTTTGTATATTGAATTATGATTTTTTATAGAACTTTTAGCTTTGGATAAGTGTACTTTGCTTGAAAGATTACATAGTTAGTATGCACACCCGGAGTTTACATCAAACTAAGCAATTTAACCTTAATTGTTCAAGTGAAAATATATATTCCTATCATTTAACCATGGTTAAGTGAAAGACACATATCTTGCATTCATTACTTTGATGTAAACACTGGATGGGGTAAATTTAATTTATGAAATTATCATAGATTATTAACACTGATCTCAAAAGATATTTAAAATATATACTTAGGTGCTGACAATGGTTCAGTCTTTTTCTCATTTACAAATATTAATAGAGCTTTATTTTGTAAGTCAAAAGTTTCATTGCCAAACACCAAGCTGGTGTCAAAAATGACTTCAAGTTGTTCATAACTCTACTGGAGTCATCCATAGGTATCTATGAAGTTTGCCGACTATCTTTACAATAGAGTATTCTCTCTTTACACCAAAAACACAAGTGGAATAAAAGAAGGATCTTTTTAATGTTGTCCTCATTTAACTTTTTTTTTTGAGACTGGTACCAATACAAATGTCAAAATAGTAAAGTTCAAAATTTGCAATTACTGATTGTCCTCATTTAACATAGAGAAGTACTCCTAAATCTCCCTATATTGGTTTGCGGTGGTGCTGCTTGGTGCGCTGTCAATGAGATCAGTGATGCATGAAAGTGAAGAAGACGTTAAAGATATACCTGGCGTGAATATTTGCCTGAAATAACGTGGAGTTCTCTGCTTACCTGGGTCGTGGAGGGTGGTGGGAGCAAGGGGGGAGGGAGGTAGAGAGAGAAGATGAAGTTTGATACATTTGATCCCTTCTCTTTTACATAAGATGTGGGTGCTCAGTCCTTGCTTTGCCAAAGCATGTTTTTTCTAGTGCATTTATGGTTCGTTGCTTTGTTGAGGGATGCTGGAGCCCCAGGAAGATGGTTCTCTTAGAATGGCACTGTATGACTATTGAGTTGAAGTCTTACTAGTTCAGTAATATGCTACCTTAGGTTCTACAATGTTAGCCTCTATAATGTCTCCATATGCGGAGATGTTGTGGACACTTGTCCCAGTAAGAGGAGTTTGATTTCAGTATTTATTGATCAAAAGAGGCAGTGGGAAGTAAAATCTAAGAAAGTGTAGTGGCTTATTACCTGATCTTTCCTTTTAGGGAAAGGTCAAAATAACCCCTTTACTATACAAAATATGTTAAGTTTACCCTCTGGTAAACCATTGAGTCATTCTTTTAGCAAATTGTCTCTTATTTGCCCTTGACCTTGACGGAACTCCGGGGAGTACTGTGGGTGGATTTCACGTGTCAAAGTGCTTCAGAAAAGAGGTCCAGATTTACCCCTTTATTTTTAAGTACGGTTTAAAATTACCTCGGTTATACATCGGTTAGGGTCCATGCTCCATTAAAGTCAAGGAAAAATACGAGATGCTTTGCCAATGGTAAGGGTGTGAATGGCCCAAAGTATAATAGATGGCAAAATTAAGATATTCTGTACAGTAGAGGGGTATGTTTGACCCTACTTTTTATTTGGAATGTGAAATGTATCTTTCCCGTGCTAGGTGTTATACTCAGATTAATCCTTTCCCATAGTAGGGTCATGATTCATGGCACACAATTCTGTTAGCCATATGTTGATGTTGGTCAGTTGTCTGCAGTTCAGTAATCTGATGCCATTTTATATTGGTCTTTCAATCAGGGGTTTGTTTGTTGTATTTTATGCGCTTAATGCTGATATTTATATTTTATTTTTAAATGGTTGAAATAGATTGCTCTGCTTGAAGAACAAAACTACGAGGAATCTGAACATGACAATGAAGCAAAACCAGCTGAGACTGACTCAAATGGTGGGAGGCCAACATTGGAGACTGATGGTTTTGATGAAAATCCTGACATCAATAATGTGCCGATGGAAGAAAGTCAGGTAGCAAAACTAGCATTTAAGTTTAATAGCATGTTAGTATGTGTGCTTGCAGTCTCACTTCCAATACAAAAGTACTTGCAGGAAGCAATTTAAACGTGATTTGGAAATGACAGGCTCTTTTAATTAACTTTTTATCTGAAAGGAAAATGAGATTGAAGCCATGAACTTCATACAGCTAGTATCTTGTATATTGTGGCTTCTCGTTCTAGCCCTCTTCTCCCAAGCCAAATGTTTAGATCCTAATTGTGCTTTTCTTTTAGTTTATCGAAAAAGAGTGCTATTATTTTTTGATAATGTGAGAGCGCTTTTATTTCAGTGCAGTGGTGTATTTTCTAAAGCTTTTCCATCCCGAACTTGATAAAGGTCTGGTGTTTAGCTTCTAAAGAGCTTTTTCCTAATTTTTACTAGGAATTTTGGTGATACTTTATCCTTTTGTTGGGCTCTAAACTGCCTTGGTCATTTGCTCTACAAGTCTGGCTAGATACTGAAATTCTGATTTTTGCGAGTCCGATAGCAACAATGGTATATTGTTGTGCAATGTCTGAATTGTGCCTTTATCTTTCAGGCTCCACAAGATAACCCTACAGAACGACAAGATTTAAATGAAAGCACCTTGGACTTGTCTTTGGGCTAGGAGGCTCATGAACAATAGAGATTAGACAAGAGATGATCAGTTGGTCAAAGTGAACTCCAGTAGCACTGAGGCAATCTGGCTTTCTGTAAAATGCTGCTCATGATTGAGCAACGAAACTGCCTCAGCTCTTCATTCATCCTAAGGTAACTGTAATTTTTAACCTTTGTGTACTGTAAGGTAGAGTCACTATTTTTTTAATTGGCCGAGTTGATAATTTTTTTCCAACGACCATAGTGGAACATATATATTGGAATTAGTGGGACGACATATGCTATTGCATCAAGATTGAAGGGCTATGATTCATTCTTTTATTCTCTTTGTCTTAGTATATGCAAGTTCCGATTTTGTGGAGCAAGAAGTTGTTGTCTGTATGTATCGTCATAAGAAAGAACGAGTGCTTCAAGTGTTTGCAGTAAATAAAGTACCCCCATACCCTCAGAAACACACAAATGGAAGACAAGCAAATTTTTGAACTGATGTTAAGAAGCAAAATAGCTATTGCTGCTGCAGCGATACTGCGAAAACTTGCAGTTCCTCTCCTGGAGCTTTTTCAGTGGCCATTTGCGAGCTGCGCAATCATGCTGGGCATTTGGGAAAATGGAAAACTTTGAACCATCGATCTGTTATCTTTAACTGTTGTTCATATATTTCCATTTACAGGTAGTTTCTCTCAAATTGTGCAGAATGCCATTTACTATTTATGATCAATTGCCATTTTTTCCTGGTTTACTAGACGTAGTTTTCCGCTAGCTCTGCATAAAGTAATGGTTGATATGGACAATTTAGAGATAGAGAAAAAATTGATTTTCAAGCTATTCACGCGCCCAACTCCAAGTGAGATCATTGTTTTTTTGCTTTTCATATATTTTCTGGTTCTTGTGATACAATTATTTTTTTCTATGGTTTCGGTTGATGTATTGCCTCTTTTCGTCTTCTTCTAATCTTCTTGAGCCGAGGGTATATTGGAAATAACATCTCTATTCCCTCAGGGTAGGGGTAAAGTTTGCTTATACACTACCTTTCCCAGATCCCACTAGTGGGATTTCGTTGGGTCGTTGTTGTTGTATGTGCATGAGGTGCTCAATAGACACATTTTTGTGGGGGTTGAAGTGTCTAATAGAAACAAGTGTATGTTGATTATACTTCTCAAAAAATAATTGTAAATTATCTTTACAAAAAATAGTAATTCTTTTTTAATGTTAATTCGGTTTGTTTTGTAAAAGATTAAATCTATGATAACTAACTTATATACTTGAATTTTACGTCATTAAGTTTGGCTAAGAATGTAAATGGAGTTGATGCTCAAGTTTTTAAAAGACGTAAGGCAGAATGGCCGTTTAGATACTTGTACTTGTTTTGGTTTGTCATCTCGGTCCTTATAATCTGCAAAGTTTCATTTAGACATTTTAATTTGATCAAAACCTATATTTTAAACCCTAAAAACCATTGATCAAGCACATGTGGCAACAAAATGGTTGAGCTGGACAATACGAGTGTAGTTTACACGGACAACGAGCGTGAATATGACATTTTGAATAAGAAATAATTAAAATAAGAATGAAAAATAAAATAAAATATGTAAAAAAGCAAAAAGCAAAAAACAAAAAACAAAATTCCCCGCACCCCCACCCCAATTTTCTTTTCCTGTTAGCTTCTTCCCCCACCCCTCCCCTTTTTGTTTTCTTGTTTTCCCTATAAGTTTCTTTTTCTTCCCCAAGCAAGAAAATAAAAGATTCTTATTTTTCTTCATTTAATTATCGCCTGCAAATGCAAATGCAAATCATTGTTTGCACCGGGTAAGACCTGTCTATGAGCCAGAAAAGACCTACATCTTTCCCGCTTCTTTTAACTCCACTTATCCACTAACGTCGCCGTAATCTCTATCATCAATGGTGGACAAGAAGAAACGTCGACGAGTAGCTCACGACTCTGACTCCGATTCTGACGCCCTCCCTTTCAAATCTAAGGTAAAACCCGATTTCGTCATCCTCCAAACCCTAAAAAATCTCAAGGCCTAATTTGTCGCCTCCAGTTCCAAAACCTAACTCTCGCCGATGCTGGATAAAATAAAATATGTAAAAAAGCAAAAAACAAAAAGCAAAAAACAAAATTCCCCGCACCCCTACCCCATTTTTCTTTTTCCTATTAGCTTCTCCCCCCCCCCCCCCCC